TGAGGGACTGCCAAGACAGAATATGACCGACTTTTACTAACTGTGGATCAAATGAAAGGGACAGTCACAGTAAAGACACTGCATTTCATGAACAAGCTCATGTGTGGATGGACTGAGAACATAAGAGCTAGAGTCAGACACGGGTTCAGATCTCAAAGATACTCCTTAGCACTCCTGTGATTGGGAGCAAGGCTTGTGGCTGGCACACTCTCTCTTTGTCTCTTTCCCCTTCTCTCTTTCCCCAGCTACAAAGTGAGGACAAATGACACCTGTCACGGTCACTGCTGTTGCGCAGTAAAAAGTGCTAGGAGCAAATATAACCCTAAGTGACTTGATGGCAGAGACCTGCATGCCTGGCATTCCTAGCTAAGTCTAATGAAAGGCTCAGCTCTGAGTTCTGCATGGTGGGAATACGATTATAATGCAAGGCTGCCATGGAATCTGGCACAACCCATGTCTTTGGTAAGTGTGTTTAGGGATGGCAGGTGCCCTCTTGAAATGCCAGCACGAACTATACAGGTGTTATGATTTCTGAGGAAGAACAATGAAAGGTCCTAACTGGAAGAGGGTGATAGTTGGCCTAATAACTAGTCATGATGACTAGCTGGACTTGAGGCTGAAGGAAAGAGCTAGAATACATGTAGCAGAGGAGAATTAATTTATAAAATGTTTGAGTGCATGCCACATATGTGGGGACATCTGTAGAAGCCAGTCTGGGGTATCACACTCACAATGCTCCTGCCCCAGACCCCTAAGGGCTGGAATTACAGGTACATACCACAACCTGGCCCAAGGTGAGCATAAACCATGAAGAAAAGATCCTTCTCTAAAGGTCCAATCGTGACAATCTACCCCTTCATTTGTCCTCCTCAAGATGTACTGTCTTTCTTCATTGAAAAGGTATTTTGAAGAAACTATCTATTATGGTGACAGACCTTGGGGAAGTGGCTTCCTGATTAGCTTGACCACTGCAGTGCTCTGTATGCTATGTGCCTCTGCCCACTGCACTCAGCTGCAATCCTTCCAGACTGAACGAGGTCTGGCCCAGGACGGGGCAATGAAGATGCCCCAGCTGCTTGCACTACACTGGCTGCCTGTGCCATTGGTCTGCCAGTGGAAGGGTCTTGTCTGAGTGCTCTCAGCTTGGTTCTGAGACAAGCAACTGAAAACACAAGCATCAGGGAGTCTGCACAGCCCAGAGCAGACAGCTTTGATCAGGAGATCAAAACCTGACTAAACTTTGAAAGATGCATCCCATCTGGATCCATGAAAGTACCATACTGGTGGTAAATTCAGGGGAAAAAATACAAGAGGAAGGGTCTGGGAAACCACTGCAAGGCATGGCATGAAGAGCTGTGAAAGCCAACGACCTCACATTGACCAAGTCCTAAGTGTCTAAGGACACAAATGCCACTTCCAAAGACAGAGAGCTGTGAAGACAGCTTACAGGCTAAAACACCTGGCATATAAGCATGAGGACCAGACATCAGGTTACCCAGAACACAGAGAGAAGCCTGGCAGGAAAGGTGGTCGGCCACCTGCAATCTCAGCACTTGGGAGACAGAGACAGGGTTCTTGGGGTAAGCTGGCTAGTTAGATCGCCAGAATAAGCAAGTTTCATGTTAAGTAAAGGATCTGGTTTGATATGTAAAGTGGAGAGTGAATAAAGAAAAAAAGCAGTGTCAGCTTTAGGCCTCCACATGCCTGAACACACATGTGCATGTGTACTTAGATACATGACAACCCACACACATGTATACACAAATATACACACCACACACATACTCATACACATCAAAAATACCCACATACCCTACACACATCACATACACGTACATGTGCACACACTCATGAGTGCACAACATATACCACACAATCATAACACATACACACTACACCACACACAGACACACACACACACTCATTCACACTCATCTACTGTGGAAGTAGATAATAAATTAGAGAACTTGTTAGGGTTTGGGGCAGGCATAAGGTATTAAAAAATCTTACAGACAATGTCTACAGGTTTAAAAAGTCAGTTGACAGGGGGCTGGAGAGATGACTCAACAGTTAAGAGAACTGGCTGTTCTTCCAGAGTTCAATTCCCAGCAACCACATGGTGGCTCACAACCATCAATAATAGGATCCAATGCCCTCTTCTGGCATGCAGGTGTACATATAGAGTGTTCAGACATAGACTATAAATAATTTTTTTAAGTCAGTCAAGAAAACAGGGTAAACAATGTGATTGCGAAGAGAAACCAGCAGTGACCCTTTATAATGGGTCTGGAGACCAGGTGGATAGAAGCAGCTCTGGTTAAGTCAAGTGGGGGACAGCGGGAGGAAGTCTGTTTAGAGGAAAGGTGACCACTGTAATCTGGACAAAGAACGTTTAGGATAGTGGTATTCACCGACTGCCTCCAGACACTGCTGACTACACACCATGGACTGCGAGGGCCCTGGCTGAGAATGTTTCCTAAATCACATTCCTACATGAGAACCACAGAGAACCCCCCCACACACACAATAACACAATCTCCTTGCGCGACTGCAAAAGCAACTTGAGTGGATAAAACCAGAAACACAAAAGCAAATGCTCTAAGGTTTCTGCTTCTAAAAAGACCCTGTAACCTCACATTTGGATGTTAAACCAAAACAATATCTGAAAAGATGCAAAACATCTCTAATCATCATTTAACCTTGAGGGAAATTCAAAGCAAAACTATGATGAGATGCTTGCCTACAACTATTAGACAGGCTGTTTTCTCTAAATCAACTCACAACAGCAAGGACACAGAACAGGAATCTGGCACACACGCTGCTGGCGATGCACTGGAAAACACCCTATGGACTCTTATACAGCTAAGCATGTGCCCTGCTTCCGGCCCAGGGACACCACTCCTCAGCAGCTTTCTCTGGGTGGGGGGATATCCATACAAATACTACACACAGATATTCATAGAAGCTCAATAAATACCGACTGGAACCTGGGAATAGCTCAAATGTATATCAGTATTGAATCGAGCCACACACTCTGAAACACCAGTGATAAAAAGTAATCAATACCCATGCAAGAAGCAACACAAAGACCCAACAGCACTGCAGAAGGAAGAGAACGGAGCAGGGCATGAAATGCTGCAGGGCACATTCTACCTGCTTAGTGACACCTAAACGCAGTGAGAGCAGGGGACTTGGGGAGAAAAGGGCACTCGTGACACCATGGTTCAAGTGAACTGGGCTGGAACACTGTCATAACTAACGTATCCTTTCTAAGGGTGACAGTGTATGCAGACTCTCTGAGGAACTAAACAAATGCACAACACTTCTCACACGCTTTAAACAGGGCCGGAGAGACGGCTCAGCAGTCAGGACACTGGCTGCTCGTCTTTCTTGAGCTCAATTCCCAGCACCCACATGTAAGCTCACAAACATCTGTTAACTACAGTGCAGGGCCCCCACGCCCTCTTCTGGCTTCCGAAGGCAGCAGGCACACATTTAGTGCAGACATGCATGAAGGAAACACATAAAATTAAAACTAAATTTACCAAAATTTACCAAAAACAACAAAACCCAAAAGCCTTGAAGCACAGTACTGTTATCTCTGATTACCACAAAAATTCACAGTGATTTCTTAACTAGTTAGAATTCTACAAATGCCTTTAAAATTTTGGAAAGAAATGAGCCAACCCATGCGTCTTCCCTCTTTGAACCTCCGAGCATTCCTCTGTGGGCTCAGAGTGTCAGGACGTTAGAATGTGTAGAATCTGCGTGAATTGGTCATTGAGGCACTTAGACAGGGGCTCTTGTTTGCTGGACAGCTGTTGGATACATTGTTCTTTTCTCACAGGCTAAAAAGGGGAACTGGTATGCTAAGGGAATGTGACCTTCTCACTGGATAGCTGTTGCATCACCCCTGAAACACAAGGAATCTGTGCTCACTCTGCACCAGGAAGAGCAGAAACAACAACAAAAGACCCCAAACTCTAGTAAACGAGCGGTACTACCTTTGTAAAAAATCTTGAATGTTCTAGTTTACTTTAACTTTTAAAAATTTTACACTTATTTGTATGGGTGTGTGTTGTCGCGCACGCATGTATTCATGGGGGAGGGCTTACAAATGCATGCCAAGGCATGAGGTCGGAGGTCAGAAGACAATATTTAGAAACTGGTTCTCTCCTCCTACCATGTGGGCTCTGGGACTAACTATGGCGAGAAGGCCTTGGCCTTCTGAACTATCTTGATGGCTCCAAGCCTCCAACTTACTTTCTAAAAGAACAATGTTTTGAACTCATTTATTATTCTTGGTATGCAATTTTAATACAATTTATTTAGGAGTCCAAACTCCTAAATAACTCTTAAGATATTTTTAAGAGAGTTTTAAGAGAGTTTTCATGCATAGAAACTCCATAAAACTATTGTAGCATCAACTCAGGTTTTGTTTGCTCTTTCTTTCCTGCAGTTCTGAGACTGAATTTGGGGATGCAGGCATGTACTGCCCAGCTGACCCAGCCCCAATCCCTACCTTGATACTTTGCCATTCTCCTGCTTCGTTACTTAAAACCCTTCTCACTTGGACAGGAACTTTCGATCTTTCCTGACCGTTAACCTACTAAACCGTATGTCTTACTAGGTCTACATCACAACTCAGTCCAGCTCTCTGAGCACAGTGCATAGTGCAATACTGAAATTGCTCATGAGGATGCTGACCTGGATTGCTCTTTTTACTAAGTCCTTTACAGTGCTGACAAAGACCCATGTGATTCAAACTACTATCAGTGCCCCAGTGGTGAAAAACAAAGGCAATGTCTATGCATGCTTAAGCAATTTAATTAATCAAGTTTTGTAAGTGCATGTTCACGCATGCACACACACCCCAGCCTGTGTGTGGAGAAACACTTCTGGCTGCTGGTAATTTAGAATTTTTAAACTTTTACTCACTAGTATCTTCTTCCATTGTTGGGAACTAGAAAAAATTCTCCAAATGATGATTAAAAACTTACTTTCAAGGATTCCCACAAGGGAAACTGGACCAAGGAGAAAGGAATCTGGAAAGAGAAAGAAAACATGCAAATTAGGTAACATGGATCAGAAATCATGCGAATTAGGTAACATCTATCTGTCATTATTGTAAGAACCCACAATTATTACAGTGCTTCATTTTATCTCATAGCTGTAATATGGACAGTATTAGCAAATACACAAGTTTAGTATGTTTGAAAACCTGATAAACTCTGGCCATAGATTCTCTACTATTTCAAGATTAAGGAATGCAAAGACCACAATGAAGCGAAGAGAAATGCAGGGAGACAAGGTTGACTCAGAAATGATACACCAAACAACTCCTATGGCAACACCCACAGTAGGACCCAAGCAGGTTCTATGTGACCGCTATGGCTGTACAGTCCTCAGCAGGTAATGTGAGGGGTGAGAAGAGCAACTGAGCAGAAGAGAAAGGGTGAGGGAGGAGAAAGGGAAAGATGTAGAAGATGGAGACAATAAGAGATGCAGGGAGAAGGGAAGAAAGTAAAACAAGGAGAGGGAGGGATGGAAATAAGAAGTGAGGGCAGCGGGGGGGGGGGCGGGAGGACAGCGCGGGGGGGACAGCTGGGGGAGGACAGCAGGGGGAGGACAGCAGGGGGAGAGGGAGAAGGAAGCAGGCAGGAGAAGACTAGCATGAAGGAAAAACAGTGGAAGATGGGCAGGAAGGGAAGAGGGAGAGAGGAGAGGATGGAGGGATGGAAATGGGGCAGGGGCTGGTGGACAGCAGGAGGGACAGCAAGAGTCACTTGCAGGAGCATGTCAATATGGCAAACTCCAGGAACCTGCCAACTGTCTGGGAGTGGATGGCTGCACCCTAGAGGAAGAAAAGCTCTATAGGGATTGCACTCCATGCAGAATTCAAAGTAAAGCTGTTGAGTCAGGGAGAAAGTTCCCTGCAGTCCTCAGAAGAGGTCAAGGTTACAACACCTAGACAAGTGTTTACTGTGAACACTGAACTATGGGACAGATCACCAGGTCCTCAGTAAGCTGGACTTCACTAAGGCACTACTAAGCCCTCATGTCAATCAGCACTGTTCTCCTCACCCTGCTGACAGATGAAGAGGCTGGGGTCCACAGAAACTGTGTAACCTGCCAAATACACAGTCAGTCAGGCCACCTGACTTCAGAGCCCTAACTACTATTTTACCTGCAAAGACAAACATTTAACCATGTTTATCTGCTTATAAGTCCACATGGTACAATTTCTTTGCTTTTAATTAAACTTTTGGAAATTCTCAAAAAAAAAAAAAACACACACCCACATTTCCAAAATAAGAATAAACTCCAGTGGACTCCAGTCACTCTTCACCATCACTGCCTGGCACACTCAGGGGCTCACAGTGGTCCCAGAGTTGCTATCTCTACACAGTTTAGTTCAGGGATACTGTCTAGACTGTGCCCATGTGGACTGCCAGAGTGTCGACAGTGTGCATCCCCACACCTTTTGGAGGAATTGACAGGTGTGTAATAACTATCTGCGATCACATGAACTCAGGGCAGGAAGTTATTGCTATGCTTAGTCAGAAACACAAAGTCTGTCACTATCTGTCTAAAGCAGATGGTGTCCCTGGATGGGAATGACAGTGGCCATAAAGAGAATCTGCCCTACTCAGAAAGAAAATGGTAGTGTGTGTGTGTGTGTGTGTGTGTGTGTGTGTGTGTGAGTGTCACTAATTTGGGTTAAGTTCACAAATGACAGTCTCAGAGATGCTTGTTCATGTCATAAGTAAGCAGTCACTCACCCTACGTGTCACAGTCCCACAAAACGTTAAGTCGAGTGTTTTGATTCCCAAAACAAATCTGACATTGTCCATCCTGAAATTCAAGAACTATATTTTCAATGAAATCAAATACCAAAACAAAATCCCTGGCTGTGAAACTGACTTCTAAAAACTTTTCTAAAATCTTAACAAAGTATACAGTGCGGGGAGACGCCACCAAGAGGAGAAGCAGCAGGACTTCGTCTTCTCAGTCTAACTTTCTTCCGTGGACTAAGCCTTTCTACATGTGAAGACAGCATATTCTATAGCAATGTTAAATGTCTCAGCTGCAAGTTAAAAAGGTCTAAATTATTTTACCAGAATATATTTGGCTTTTAAGACTATTCGGTTCTCATTCTATGGATAAATATTTTGTCCACTTGCCTCTATTGCAAATTATTCATGAAATTTTTCCTTCAACTTAAAGAGGCAACTTACATTTTCCCTCCCCCTCCCCCAATCGGGGAAGAGACAGAAATCTTTAATAAATAAATAAATTAAAAAATAAATAAAATTGACTTAATAAAAAAAAAGAAAAAACTGTAGTCAGAAAGGAGGGATACACAATGATCAAGGAAGTAAAGATGCTGAATTAAATGTCATAAAGGAAATAAAGTAGCATCGTGGAAATGCCATAAACTGATTTTTCAAGAATTAAAAAAAAAAAGAGGCAACTTACATATCATATGATGGAATGACCCTGGTTCAACTATTCCCTGGGCATTTGCTTAAAAAACAAGGCCCACAGCGAACCCCAGCTTCGCTCCCTACAACAAGATTAACTGACAGACTAAGGCAATTAAACATGCTATAAATGTTTGAATATACAATTTTATTTGGGGCTCTTGGTACTGATAAGGTTCCTCATAAGATAAACACCTGATGTGTGCAAACTTCTCTAATGTTAGTCAAAACTGTGCGGGCTGCTCGCTGTCTTCCCAGTAAGAGGAAACCGCTATGGAGACGGAGCACACGTGTGTGTGGCAGCTCCACGCTGCTCCTACCTCGGGCAGAACACGGGCTACTAGAGAGCTGCCTCCCTTCCCAGGTCTGGTTTGAAGTCAAACTACACTGATGTTTCTTCAAAACGTGGAATTTTACACCCCAAACAGATGTAAGCTGTTACTCTAAAATGCTTTATAGATGAGGAAAATGAATAGCTATACTCAGAGGTTTTCTATTCCAAAATACAACATACCCATTTTATAGCACCAAAAGTTACAAAATGGGTCACTGTTGTGACTTGTTTAATGCCTCCATTTAAGATGTTTTGTTTGAGTAAGGTTGTTAAGACCCATGGCACTAATAAGTGAGCAGCAATAAACCCAGCTACCATCAAAGACGCAGAAGCAGGGGACCCTGCTACAGTTCAACATGGATTCTGCTCAGCAACAAGCAAAGAAGCAATTCTATCCCTTGAGCGTATGTGAAGATTCTGGTGGAAATAGAGAAAGTGGCATCACTAGTAACATGAACAATGTACATGGTTATATCATAAGCAGGACTTACTATCCAAGCATTGGACTGCAATTCTGCTTGAATTCAATCAGTGTTTCTAACCTTATGATTATAAGATAAATAGCCTTTCATAAACAGTGAGTGATTTATAACCGACGGGCTATAAAATATCATTTCTAAGTATTATTTACCTCTGCAATTTGACTATTTGATAGATCACATAACAAGATACTTTTTTAAATAAATAAGGGTAGATTGTAAGCTATAACAAACACAATGTGAATGACCTACAAACCTATGGAACAAGAAGTTATACTTTAAGAATGAATGCTATTACACTTGGCAAAAATGACCAACATCTCTGTTTATAAACTCAAGGAAATGTACAAGACTTAAAATTCCAAGGTGTAATGGTTAGTCCTAATCGTTAGCTTGGCCAGATTTAAAATCACCATGGAAACAAATCTCTTGGCTTGTCTGTGAAAGATTATATAGACTAGGCTAGTTGCAGTAGGAAGATGCACCCTAAATGTGGGTGGTATCATTCCACAGGCTGGAGTCTTAGACTCAATAAAAACGGGAAAATGGGCTCTGTGCACACACCCTTGCTCTCTACTTCCTGGCTGGACCAGTGTAGGCAGCTGTCTTCACTTCTGCTAGCGGCCTTGGTGGACTGTGTCCACTCACAGTGACACCTAAACTAAACCCTCCCTCCCTTCAGCTGCTTTTGTCAGGTATTTCACTGTGGAAACATGATGGGGGAGTGTCATATATCAATCTGTTGATTTCATTGGTTAAGCAATAAAGAAACTGCTTGGCCCTCATAGGTTAAAACATAGGTGGGTGGAGTAAACAGAACAGAATGCTGGGAGAAGGAAGTTGAGTCAAGGAGTCGCCATGATTCTCCCACTCCAGGCAGACGCAGGTTAAGATCATTCCTGGTAAGCCAGCTCGTGGGCTACACAGATTATTAGAAATGGGCTAGTCCAGGTGCGAGAGTTAGCCGAGAAAAGGCTGGAACTAATGGGCCAAGCGGTGTTTAAAAGAATACAGTTTCCGTGTAATTATTTCGGGGCATAAGCTAGAGCTAGCCATGTGGGCGGCCGGGGGGGGGGGGGGGGGGGGGGACGCAGCCCTGCTGCTCCTACTACAACAGAAACAAGGTGAATACTAATGCCTAAGATTTAAAAGCAGCATGGAAGTGCTCCGCTTGCCACCGACACAGGAATGGCTCCAAAGCTGCCCAGTCCCCTTTCCGAGGAATCCTCCGAGGGAGAGTTCTCTCCTGTTGATGGCAATTTCCAAGTTAATGTGCTTCATTTAGGGTTTCCCATTCCAGTGTCCCACAATGACAGCCATTCCCCTCTTAAATAAAAAGAAAAAGCTGACTGTTCATTTATTTATTTATTTATTTATTTATTATTTTTGGTTTTTCAAGACAAGGTTTCTCTCTGTGTAACCTTGGCTCTCCTGGAACTCACTCTGTAGATCAGGTTGGCCTCAAACTCACAGAGATCTACCTGCCTCTGCCTCCTGAGTGCTGGGATTAAAGGCGTGCGCCACCACCACCCAACTCAGTCAGATGTTTCTGTTCAATACCAGTGGAGGCCAAGGGCAAATGATGGGGAGAAAGAAACCCCTTGCTTCAAAATGACTAGCATTCTTTAAAAACAAAACAAACCAAAAAACAGGGTAGAGTTAGAGCCATTCAAAGTCTGCTAGCAATTGCCTATCAAGGACAGAATTTCAACAGTAAACAGATCATGGACAGAGAACAATTAATACAT